GCATACTGTCCAGGTGAGCAAATCAATAACCTAACAAAATTAATTACACAATCAGAACATATTCAATAGGTTTTAACATTTTGTACTTTCTACTTACCACACCGCCAACCCATTCCGTAGGCTTCAATGTTGCAACGTCGTATACACTAGCGAATTGATTTCCCATTGAGATTACAGAACATCTGTATGAATCATTAGGATTAATATGTTGTCATGAAATATTTAAATATCACTTACAAAGCAATATATTTCACTTACCCCGATTCTAACCCACTATTCAATAAATAATCACAAATTGCATCTTCGATGTCATCAATTCCGCTTGGAATATCCGCTTTTTCAACCTACAATTTTGCATACAAATTTTTGTCACAACAACATGATAAAGATCAAATTAAGTTTTCTTTTATTCAACTTACCTTCTGCTTCTTCTTCTGGGGTGCATGACATTTTGAATCCAAATCTGCATTTATAACACTCTTCGGTGTATAGATGACATCGACATCCTTCCTCCTCATTTCTTCCATCTTTTCTTCTTCCTCCTCCCTCTTTTCTTCTTAAAATTTTTTCAGTTCATCGTATTTTTGCTCTACATAGCTCTTCATCTCTTTTATTTCACCCTTCAATTTTTCTCCTCCATCCAAGTATTGATCAACCACCCCCTTCATCCCCGTAAGTTCACTCCTCAATTCCACAATCTCCTTCACCACTCCATCAAAGTTTTCACCTGTCACCATCTTAAGATCACCCGTTAACACCTCAACTTCTTTCACCACTTCACCTCTCAACACCTCTACTTCTTTCACCACTCCATCTATGTTTCCTTCTACTTCCCCCTTATGCCTCTCAAGTGTATCTTCGACTCTCTCAAGTTTCTCTTCGACTCTTGATTGTCTTTGCATGATATAAAATTAGATTTTTTTGATATCATCCAATTCATACATCAAAATGTCGAAGTTACTCTGTTTTCCCTCACCGTCATCCCCCAATACAACTATCTCTTCTTTCTTCTCCTTTGCCTCCACTGCCTCCTCTACCTCATTGCTAATAACCTTCAAAATTAAATTACAATATTAAGACATTGATTATATTCTTAATATTATTTAATTACATTTATTACCCTTTCTTGCTTCCTCGGTCTATCCAACTTCAACTTCGCCATCACTCTAACCACCTCTTCCTTCCCCCATACACGGATACGTGCTACTCCGGTTCTTTCATAAGCCGGCATTGCCTAACAGCCTGACCAAAAATCGAACAGTGCAACCTGCATTTATAATAACATTTATAATTTTATATAATAACTATACTATCATTTTATATAAAAACACAAAAAAGTTCTTCAAGTCATTTACCTCTAAGATTGTTATGCACCCTTTGAGGTATCTCTGGCTGCCATTTTTAAAGGTGATTATTGATTCAATCAATCTCGAATGGACATATTCAGCCCAATTGAATTCACCCTTCAAGCCTTCATCGCAAATGAGCTTCATATAGTCCTTGTTCGTTGACGTATCACCCGTTGAACAAAGAAAGATACCGATAAGGTACAATAGAACTCTGGCCTTCAGCTCATCCCCCCCGTAAGATCCACTTTTGATTTCCTCTTCAAGTTCAGCATATGTCATCTTCTGCTCCAAACCATATTTGGAGGCAAGTGCTTTCCAGTTCTTACTCTTACAGACTTTTACAACACTTTTGCCTTCATTTTCTACCCCTAATATGGCTGCAGCACATGGGATCCCGAGAGGAAATGAAAAATCACCATACTTAGCAATACATTGTTTGACATCAAATTGCACCAGCAAGGATCGACACAATTCCCTCCGAATAGGTCGATCCCTTACTCCTACCAAAGATCCAAACCCTATTTCTCCCAGCACATTCAACTGACTCTTCTCCTTAAGGTGTTTAATTAATGAATTCACCCTTTTATTGCTGCACCTTGTGGACACTTCCTACATTTTTTAACAATATATAATGTTATAGTTCTTATATATTTTGTATCAACGTATTTACAAGTTTAATGAATACCTTATTTTCATGTGCTTTCCTCCGTTCTTTGTATTCTTTACTATCATTCATTGACTGTGTGATGTAAGGTTCCTTTTCAGCATAACTTATCGAATTCCATTTGGACCTCACATCTTTTGTCACCTAATATTAAGCATAAACATTTCTTAATCAATACATTAACACTAAATAATACTCAATGTCAATTTCATTTTACATACCGAACCGCTCTGTGTGCCATCTTTCTTCATCCTTTTGCATTCGGCCATACTGTCAACATTTAAAATTTGTAATCAATTTAAACTTCTTAAATACTTTAATCCAATTACCATTTCAACAATAATAACAAAAAGACATTGATACTTACTAGAAGTACATATATTCACCCTTTGATTGCTTTCGAGTCTCGGCCTCAATTTCAAAGTCATTTGCGCCACCAACAATTTTTCCACCCATTGACTCCATTTTTCCTTCATATATCACTTTACGCAAATCAAATCAAATACTTGTTACATACACTTTATTCAATATACAAATATAGATAACTACTCTTGTGGTAAAACGATTTTCTTCAAAAGAATTTGAATGGCCACTACAAAATGTATCGGCACATTTATACAACCTATAATATCATTTTCTACCTATAATATTTAATAAAAGTATCGACATTTATATTTTACCTTGAATATCACTTTCTACTTGTAATCGGTCACAAATGCTTATTTACTCCAAAACCCCAAACAACACATAAAAACCCTATTTCTGATTACTGTAATAATTAAAAACTAGGGTTTCGACAACATATTTTTCGATTCGACTGCAGCAACAAACAAACAAACAAACTTCGCTTTAGAAACACCTTCTGAAATGCAGTAACAATTACGCTTCGATTTCAAAAACTCGTCCGTTCTATATATTTTCAGAGGATATTTAGCTATGGCCTTTATATTTTCATCGGATATGTTATTTATATTTAATCGATACAACTACCAAAGTGTCGATACTTTTATGTCAGGTGTCGATACTTTCGAAAGGATAATTACCTATTTCTTTGAAAGTATCGATAATTTATTACACATACTTATTAAAGTATCGATGCTTTCAATATATCCGATAGCGCTTTACTGGTTTTATCATTTTGATACCGATTTTATCATATTTTTACCTGTTATATCGTTGTGGATCAATACATTTTTATAAAGTATCGACACTTTATAGGCGCTAAAACTGATTCTCTTTTAAATTCACAAAGTGTCGATACTTATATTAAAGTACCGACACTTTAAATATATCTGATAGTGCTTTACCGGTTTTATCATTTCGATACCGATTTTGTCATATTTTTACCTGTTATATCGTTGTGGATCGATACATTTTTATAAAGTATCGACACTTTATAGGCGTTAAAACTGCTTCTCTTTTAAATTCACAAAGTGTCGATCCTTATATTAAAGTATCGACACATTCAATATATTCGGTAGGGCTTTACCGGTATTGTCTTTTCGTGACCGGTTTTATCATATTTTTACCTGTTATATTGATATGAATCGATACATTTTTAATTTGGATCGACACAAATCGATAAGTTAAGTTTGCCGGTTGCCAAATTTTTTAATATTTTTTCATGACTTAGACTTACTACATTATTATTATTCAACATTTCCGATAGCGCTAAACCGAATTTATTAAATATATTTTAATATATCCGATAACGCTGTATATTAACCGTATATTAACCTATCTTTTCTGAGACAATCATGTATTACCATGCAATGCTTACTCTACTCTGTTTTGTGATGGTAATTGCTCCTTGGAACTTGAAATCTATTTATGGCTATTATATTATATTCGGCGATGGACTGAACTTGGGTTAATGGATGCAATCACTCTCTAAGAAACAGTGAATTGGAGAAAGTGATTTTAATGCACGATTTTAACAAAGAAGGTCATCATGTATGTTAGAACGCTTACGGAGAATTCAAAAACAAGGAGTTGCATCATAATAATTTCGAAGATGATGAAAGTCGATCCTAGTTCTTGAGATGTAAGATTCAGTTCTTGAAAATAAGTATAAGAAAGCTTGACTTTAGTCCAATGGGTAGAGCTGTAAATGAGATGAGATAGATCGTGAGTTATTTATGATCGACACGATCAAAACTCGATAAATACTCGATTCGAATGAACTTGATTTGAGTTCGACTCAAATTATTAACGAATCGAAATGAGCTACTTGATATTCGACTAAAAACGCTCGCGAACAACTTGAAAAAAATAATATGTTAAAATTTTATTTTTTTAAAAATAAATTATTAATAATATTAACATTTATGTGTTGATTCTTTTTTTAAAAAAATACAGTATAAAATTTTCATCTACTTAATATTTGATTTCGAGTTTGAGCTTCAATCAAGTTAAGTTTAAGATTTTTTTTATTTGAGTCTTTTCGAGCTTCAATTTATGATTTCGAGTTCGAATTGAGCTTAAAAATTTTAGGCTCTTGAGTTTTCGAGCCGAGTCGAGTCGAGCTCAATAATACTCGAGCTCAACTCAGCTCGTTTACAACCCTACCCACATATATCAATATAATAGTTCAGGTTAATGATCCCAATAATGTTTTAACAATTTATAAAATTGTTAATAATTTAATTTCATAGTTTAATAAGTATTTCAAATTAAAATAAAGGTAAACTTGATAGTATTTTTAAAGATTAAAGATTTATTTTATTATCTTTGATTAAGACCAATTTGATAGATTATATATATTTTGAGGGCTAAAACTATTATTATCATGTTACATCATTGTTTATGTTAATTCAATGGATAAACTTAAACAATGAGTGACCAAAAAAGAAATAAAACGTAATGTTAGACATGAATTTTAAAAAAATAGTTAAATGATCAAAATAGAAAAATAAATATATTCTAGTGACCAAATATGTAGTTTATCCTTAAAATTATGGACCAATCTAGCTATCGGTTGATATGGGCCGGTATCTCCCCTTCAATTTTCGATTCGATTCCGATCAGTTCAGGATCTCCTTCTATCTCTAGCTGACTTCCCTGTATCGTATATCCCCCCTCTTGCTCGCCGTCTGCGGCCAACACCGCTGCAAGACAACGAAAATTTCGTCTTTCATGGTGGTGCTAAACTGTTTACTATTTCAATATTTCCAAAGAGCAAAATGGACTCGATCATCTCCTCAGCTCTGGAAGAAATCTGCTTCCACGGCCAAGTAGGTATTTCTCTTTCCTCTCTCTGCACCAAAATCGGTGTCCCTCTTCCTCTCAAACCCTCCCTTTGGAAAAATCTCCTCTCCATCCCCGTTCTACGGTTCAAGGCACCAAACGCCGAGTTTCTTAACCCTACCGATGCCTCTATTCAATGCTCTGAAGTTGCGGAGAAGCTCAATATTATTATCTTGGCTCATGAAACGCTTAGAAATAATTTCGTTGGACTTTACGATGAAAATGTTCAAATCTCCTCTCAACAACGTCGCACTCTTGAGAGACTTGCTATTGCTAGGTTTGTCTTCCTTTGCATATCTAATTTTTCCCTTTGGAATATTTTCAGGTCACTTGTGTTTCTATTTTCTGGATATGACTTTAAAAGATTAGATTTTCATTCGATGAATTATACAAATTGTTAGAATAAAATGCACATGCCGTGCATAAATTACTTTGCATTTGACATGCCCTCATATTGCAAAGGTATAACAATATGAATTTCAAATTCTAATTTTTAACATTCACCATTCAATTGGCATCAGCCGTGGAGGTAATTTTGAAGGTACTGTTTATATTTGTCTTATTACACAGTTTATACTAAATTTCAAATCTAAATACTTCCTCTCAAATTCAAGTTCTCAAGGTACTCTAATTTTGAAAATGGTGGGTTTAAGAGACTTTTGTATCTAGATTGTCTTGGTCAAACTAATAATTACTTCGATTAATCACCATGGAATTCAATATTCCGTGTATTGCAACTAGTTACGCCCTTCTGACTATTAGCTATGTTATCTGATTGTTAAAGTAATAGAACTTGAGGTGAATTCGTCCTTTTTATGTGAGGCTCAGTGGTCCTACCTGATTTTTGGATTAATGGGTAGAAAATTGATGGAAAGAGGGGAAAGCTAATAAATAACTGCCGGAATTAGATTGGCATATATAATTGTAATGGACTCCAGAAAGTATTATTGCATTAGGGTTCATGATAATGCAATTCTTTAATATTGGTACGTGCAATTTGGTTGGCAGAACAAATGGAGTGACACAAAGTCATCTTGCAAAGGAATTTGGTATTGAAGGGAAGAATTTCTTTTACATATTAAAGAACCTTGAATGCAGAGGGTTGATTCTGAAGCAACCAGCAGTAGTTAGGAAGAAAGAACATTGCAGTGAAGGGGAGTTCAAAAACAGTTCACCGGTGGTCACCAATTTGATATACTTACATAGATATGCAAAGCGTTTAGGCTCTCAACAGAGGTTTGAGATTAATAAAGAAGACGAAACAGTTGAAAGTTTTGGGTATGATGATGAAAATGTTCCAGATGGCGATGGTTTTGCTTTAGAAAATGCGAACGATAATGTTCTTGTGAATGATTATCTACCTGCAATGAAAGCTGTTTGTGATAAACTAGAAGAAGCCAATGGAAAGGTCAATTATATTCAGAATGTTGTTAGATTCATGGATTTTATGTTATGCCATTATGCTGATTTTCCTTCTATTGAAGGTTCTTGTTGTCTCAGATATTAAACGAGACTTAGGTTATACAAGATCCTCTGGTCACAAAGCCTGGAGAAATGTAAGACTGCTATCTTCACTTTTTTTTTTTGGGGGGGGTTCATTTTAATTTTTGTCTAGTCCACCATTTTTTGAACATTCTTTTGAATTTGTCTTCCTCATAACATGTGTTGCATATATGTTCTCAGATCTACCGCAGGTTAAAAGATGCTGGTCTCGTTGAAGAATTGCATGCTGTTGTGAATGAGAAGGTGATGTAAATGTATAGTTCTTAATTCATGCTTTTGCAAGATTCCATATTTAATTTTTTAGCCTTTTATTCCTGTTTATATCTTTAACATTGTGTAATTGATTTTAACCTTGTATAACTGTTTAACTGTTGAATAGTTGATATATATTTTTTCAGTATTATAAGCTTTAAGAAAACTAACTTTTCAAGATTGTACATCTTTTATGAAGATTGATTTCTTCCTTTGACACACAATATAAGATCTCCTTTATGAAGTTAATGCAACTGTTCCATTCCTTTGGTCGTTCTTCGAGGCTTGTACTGTCAATAAAGAAACTTGCAGTCAATCATACGACATAAGATCATGTTAAACATTCTAGATTATATATGGAAAATATTCTGTCTAAATCTTCACTAAGTGAGTATCTATGTTCTGATATGTTCATATGTTCTTTAGGCTGAGATTTGCCTAAGGTTGGTGAAGAGGTTTCCTGAAAAGAATTTAGAGCCAAATCTTCTTGGATGTGATGATCATCTTGACAGTGGACAACAGCTGAAGTTTGGAAGGTCAATTCTGAATGTTGACCAGATTGTAGAGCTTCCCATCGATAATCAAATTTACGATATGGTTGATGCTGAAGGATCTGAGGGTTTGCCTGTTATGACGGTGCATATATATTTTCTTGACTTTGCTGTGTTATAATTTTGTTGATCTTAATGGCTATGATGTGTTTTTGATTGATATTTCCTCAATAATTTTCTCAAATTGAAGACTGGGTCTTAAAATTTAAATCAAGGCCTTTAGATATTTACTAATCATGTTTTAACAAAATTGGAATTCAATTTGAGTATGTACTGCATGGTGTTAATGGAGTAAAAAAAGCACAAGCAAGTTGTTTATTCCATAAAGTATTAGCAATTCTTACATCTGAGGGTTTGCCTGTTATAACAGTGCATATAAATTTTCTTGACTTTGCTGTGTTATAATTTTGTTGATCTTAATGGCTATGATGTGTTTTTGATTGATATTTCCTCAATAATTTTCTTAAATTGAAGACTGGGTCATAAAATTTAAATCAAGGCCTTTAGATATTTACTAATCAAGCTTTAACAAAATTGGAATTCAATTTGAGTATGTACTGCATGATGATGGAGTAAAAAAAGTACAAGCAAGTTGTTTATTCCATAAAGTATTAGCAATTCTTACAGGTTGTTCTTTTCCATCTTAGTTGAAGATTCACTTGAATTTATGGTTACCATCTAAGACTCTTCCATTAGGGATGGTGATACATTGTGAGAAATTGAGAGAATAAAAAAGAAGGAAAAGAAATTTTGTAATCGAAATTCTCATTGAAAAACAAAAAACACGACATGTATTTATAGGCTACGGATTGCAAGTTAGAGTCCTACTAGGTTTCCTTTCTTCCTAACTTTTATCTCATAAGAAACTTAACCCTAATAGCACAATATAAGTAAATTATAATTAAATTAAACTTTATCTCCTAAAATAAATTGAACTTGTAAGTAAAATAAAATTCTTAATTGTCAACAACTTTCTACACTCCCCCTCAAGTTGGGTGTTTATTTTATACAAACCCAACTTGAACTTGAATCTATGTAAGCTCTTGGAAGGGCTTTAGTAAGAATGTCTGCAAGTTGCATTTGAGTAGGAATGTAGCTCAGTTTAACAGTCTTATTGTTGACTTTCTTTGAAATAAGGTGTTTATCAATCTCCACATGCTTTATTCTGTCATGATTAACAAGATTTTTGACAATGCTTATGCTGATTGATTGTCACTTTTCACCTTGAAATAATCCTTAAAATCAACCTTTAATTCTTTTAATAGTCGTTGAAACCGTATTCCTTCACAAATTCATAAGGCAAGAGCTCAAAATTCAATCCTCTGTGCACTTCTTGAAACCATATACTGCTTGTTGCTTCTCCATGTAATAAGATTACCCAAATAATGGAGCAATAACCACTTGTAGATCTTCTTTCGGTTACTGCAACCCTTGCATCAGTATATACTTATACCTCGCGGGTTTTACTCCTTTTAAAGAGTAAACTGTGACCTAGTGTCATCTTTAGGTGTCTTAGGATTCAGTTTTCAACCTCTAGATGCCATTCTTGTAAATTATTCATATTATAATTGACAATACTCACTGAAAATACAGTATCTGGTCTTGTGCGTGAAAGATAGATTAGCATGCCCAATAATCTTTGGTATTGTTTATTAACTGACACTCCATTCTTCCTTAATGTTATATTAGAATCCGTATGAGTTTTTGTTGGTTTGCACTCAAGCATTCCAATCTGATTAACAAGTCCATGAAATACTTTTTTTAGAGAGATCACAATTCCTGCTTTAGATCGAACAACCTCCATCCTTACGAAGTATTTGAGAGCACCAAGGTCTTTGATTTCAAAGTCAGCAACAAGTCGACCTTTTAGCTTGATGATTTCTTCTGTGTCATCTCATGTTATGATAATATCATCAACATAGACAATAAGAATGATCCCCTGTACGCTATTTTCAGTATTCCATATTAAAAAGGATTTTGGAATAGAGAATCTATCTAAAATCTATTTAAAGAAGGGTCTAATGGTATCTGTTCTTATTTGATTCAATACACTGTAGTCAGTTACATTGGCGAATTAAGTGAAGGTGCGGAAAGAGAGGGATTCGAACCCTCAGTAAACAAAAGTCCACTGTAGACTTACAGTCACTCTCAACAATCAACCTACCAACAGAAACCCAACGTGAAGACATAAAGATTTCAATGCCTCTTTTAATAGCTTTTAATTCAGCAACTGGTGGGGGACCTTGACCAATATTCTCTGAAAAAGTCAGAAGAGTGCAACTATTCCAGTCTCTTAAAATACCTCCAATGCCTCCAACCGAGCCATCTAACCTTACAACTCCATCAACATTCATCTTCAAAAAATCAACAGGAGGGGGGAGCCAGCAAAGCACAGAACAACACTTAGTTTTAGGAACTGAGATACCATCTGCAAGAGATGGATCACCAATCAGCACATCCTCCTGTATAGGAAACTTTGGGAACTTGGCTAGAAACCATTTAGATAACCTAAATCTAACAATGAAAAAAAGAGACAGCCTGTCAAGAGATAATCCTTCAAACACAATTGCATTCCTAGCTTTCCAAATAGGCCAAAATACGACTCCCGGAATAAACTTCCAAATCAACGAATTCACCCTCAAATCACCCCAAGTGCTAAGTAAAGAAGGAGGGTCCCGGGGTAGAACTACGGATAAATCTCCAAAGCTTATTATTTTATTCCATAATTCCCAAACTACGTAACACGAAATAAACAAGTGCTGCACTGATTCCTCATGTTTCTTGCAAAATGGACAAAGAATATCTTCACCTAGGGGCATTCCTCTGTTAACCAACTCTACTTTGACTGCCACTTTCTGATGAGCTAGCTGCCAAAGGAAAGCTTCCACACGAGGTGGAGACAGTCCCAACCACACCCCTTTTAACCACTGATCAGTACTCCCAGACACCTTACCAAGAGCACTTCTGCAAGATTTGACCGAGAACAGTCCATCACCACTTGCAGACCAAGAAAGAAAATCTTCTATTGAGTATGTTAATTTTATATCATTCAGTTTTGACATCAAATCCATCCATTGATCCAATTCCCAATCACACAAATTCCTCCTGGTTTGTATATTCCACACCCAACAATTCGATTCAAAACTGCCAAACTTAGCAACCTTGCCCCATTTGTTAGGAGAAAGCGCAAAGATTCTATGGAAAAGATTTTTTAAAAGAGACTCATCCACCTATGCATCAATCCAAAAAGAAATGGACTTTCCATTACCCACTTGCAACTTCGAATTTGGTCTAAGACATTCTCCCTCCGAATCACTCTTCAAGAAATTATTGGCAATATCTCTCAAAATCCAAGAAGATTGAGGAGAAATAACCTTACTAATAGACATGGTGTTGCAACTAACCTTCTGCTTGCTACATAACACTCTTTTCCATAAGGAATTCTTTCATTGGCAAACTTCCACACCCATTTTTCCAATAGAGCCCGATTGGTAAGATTCAAGTCAAGAACACCGAGGCCACCACAATTCAAAGGCCTGCAAACTGTACTCCAATTCACCCAGTGAATCCGCCTCTTATCCGCATTATCACCCCATAAAAATTTGGCCATCAAAGAATTTAACCTCTTACCAATTTTGCAAGGCATTTTAAAAAATGATAGGAAAAAGATAGGCAAGGAAGATAACACCGACTTAATAGGCCTGTCCTGCCAGCCAAAGAAAGACAAGAAGTTTTCCACCCGACAAGTTTGGAATTGAAGTTCTTAAAGACTGGATCCCATAAGACTTCTGAATTCTTCTTAGCACCGAGAACAATTCATCACCACTTACAGACCAAGAAAGAAAATCTTCTACTGAGTATGTTAATTTTATATCATTCAGTTTTGACATCAAATCCATCCATTGATCTAATTCCCAATAACACAAATTCCTCCTGGTTTGTATATTCCACACCGAACAATTCGATTCAAAACTGCCAAACTCAGCAACCTTGCCCCATTTGCTAGGAGAAAGCGCAAAGATTCTATGGAAAAGATTTTTTAAAGGAGACTCATCCACCCATGCATTAATCCAAAAAGAAATGGACTTTCCATTACCCACTTGCAACTTCGAATTTGGTCAAGACATTCTCTCTCCGAATCACTCTTCAAGAAATTATTGACAATACCTCTCAAAATCCAAGAAGATTGAGGAGAAATAACCTTACTAATAGACATGGTGTTGCAACTAACCTTCTGCTTGCTACATAACACTCTTTTCCATGCGGAATTCTTTTCATTGGCAAACTTCCACACCCATTTTTCCAATAGAGCCCGACTGGTAAGATTCAAGTTAAGAACACCGAGGCCACCACAATTCAAAGGCCTGCAAACTGTACTCCAATTCACCCAGTGAATCCGCCTCTTATCCGCATTATCACCCCATAAAAATTTGGCCATCAAAGAATTTAACCTCTTACCAATTTTGCAAGGCATTTGAAAAAATGATAGAAAAAAGATAGGCAAGGAAGATAACACAAACTTTATAGGACTGTCCTGCCAGCCAAAGAAAGACAAGAAGTTTTCCACCCGACAAGTTTGGAATTGAAGTTCTTAAAGACTGGATCCCATAAGACTTCTGAATTCTTCTTAGCACCGAGGGGAAGTCCCAGATAATATGTGGAAAAAGAACCAACTGAACAACCCGCTGCCAATGCCCAATCAGATAAGATGGCCTCATCCACATTAATACCAAAAAGTTTACTCTTCGCTAGGTTTAGATGCAACCCCACCATTATACTGAAAATCCTCAAAACTCTTTTAACATTTTTAATCTGGGTAAGAGAAGCTTGGCAAAAAATGATGAGATCATCGGCAAACTGAAGATGAGACAACCGAAAGGAATCTTCAGATTTCCCAATAAAAAAACCTTGGAAAAGACCCAGGTCAACTGCTTTAGACAACATCAAATGGAGCAGCTCACCTACTATATTAAATAAAAGCGGAGAGAGACTGCATCCTTGTCTAAGTCCTTTAGCTATAGGAAACTCTTCCGAAGGGGACCTATTCACAAGAACCGAAATTGAAGCTGAAGAAAGACAATGTGA